TCCCATGCCCCTTTGGCGCCCCCCCCCCCCCAAACACACAGCGGCCGACAGCGGCCCCCTCCACCAGCGCCCCCCCGTCAACCTTCATGTCAAACACGGTGCTGCTGTAGTGCGCCTCCACACGCCGCCGCTCCTCCTGCAGATCGCACCACTGCTTCAGCGCGCCCCTGGTCAGGGGCACAAACGCAAACACGGTCAGAGAGGCCGGCAGCGTGACCCACGGGCACCCACGCTTGCCCGGCCAGCCACCACCAGCAGCTGCACGGCCGCAGGACAGCTCCACCCCTTCTTACCCCCATCCGCACCACGGGCGCCTGTCAAAAAGGTCGACTGCCTGCATCTGCTCAACTTCCCGTGCCCCGCCCGGTCGAGCGCACCGCCTGGCCGCACCCGCCCACCTGTACCGCGCCTCCGCCCCCTCCAGATGCGCCATGTCCTTTGTCGCCGCCGCCCGCCCCTTGGCCCTCTCCTCCAGCACGCCCCTCACGCGCCGCTGCAGCGCGCCGTTCTCATCCAGCAGCCGCCGCCGCTCCGCCTGCGCGCGCGGGAGCAGCTCGTCGGCGCACGCGGGGCGGCCGGCGCGGGCGGTGGCGGGGCCGTCAGTGCTGTCGTCGTCGGAGCCGCCCTCGGGGACGTCGTGGAGCGGGTGGACCTCCTGGGTGCATGGGGGTTCCGGGCAGGCGGCCTTATCATTGTGACTTCTTTCTGGGCAGGGTTGATGCATACAATACAGCTGGGCAGGGGTGGGCCGCGCCGGCGCCGTTGGTGCCTTGTGGGGTTTCAAGGCGGCGAGCGAGGAAGCCCCGCCACAGCCGGCTGTCTGCTACCCCGGCGGAGTCTCGCCAGCCATCCCGTCCGGCGGCGCACCCGTGCTCATGCCCACTCATCGCCCGCAACCCGCCCACCAGAAAGTCGACGTCAAACCCCTCGATCTGCGCCGCGACGGCGGCGGAGTTGGGCCGCGAGCCCCGCAGGTCCCGCAGCGCGGACATGGGGCGGGAGCCGGCAGAGCTTCGCGGCGACAACGCCAGCGCCGCCGCCGCCGCCCCCGACATGCGGGCGCCGCCGCCCGCGGACCCAAGCCGGGTGCGGGGCGTGGAGTCAGGAAAGGGGAGGCCCGAGTCTGCGGTCCGCCGCCGGTGAGAATTTTGGCATCGAATGGTTGGAGAGGAAGGGTGCTGGCCCAGCTGGAAGGTTGTCTGGCTTGAAGACAATTAGGCGCATGCAAGTCCATGTTCACCGGAAGTCTGGGCTATCCAACATCCACCTGACATGATGCCAGACTCTGGCATTATGTGAAACTGCCAGGTGCGCGTGCAATCAATCATGCCCGTGTCCATGCAACGCACCGGATCCGTATCCATGCTGCTGCTCCAGCGCCATCATCGGCTTGGAACCGCTCGGAGCCGCCCAGGGCGTGCCGCCGCCGCTCAACCCATCCGCCACACCGGGCCCGCCGTCCCCAGTCCCGTCGCCCCCGCCGCCGGCGCCGCCCCCGCTGCTGCCTGATGCGCCGCCGCCCGGGAGGGGCGCGGCCCCGCTGGCTGCTGGGCTGGTGCCCGCTGTGTCTGCTGCGGCCCGCGGGCCTGCAGCTTGTACCCCTGAGCCCTGCTCTATCGCCGACGTCCCTGGACCTGGGGCATCCTCATCATCGACTTCCTGTGTGACGATGCCAAGGGCAGGAGGCGGCCAGCGCTGTGTGAGATGCGCGCTGCACACGGCGTGCAGCTGAAAAGCGTTGTTGGGCCGGTGGGCTGGCGGTGCGAAAGCAGGTGCTGAAGTTGAGCACCCCCTCAAGAAGAACAACAGGCTGGAGGACGTGCTTCACTTTGTCCAGGCCGCAGCCACACTGATTTTCAGCCTCTGCAGTCTGCCATCAAGCTTTCTCAACCTTTCAGCTTGGGGGCGGCAGCGCAGCGCGACCGCCAAGCATCAATCGGCGCAGTGGTGGTTTCAGCGCTGTGGCGCAGCGGATTGATCCCTGCACGTTGTTGAACCTGAAATTTTGTATCACACTTACCTCTTCATGAGCCTCGCGATCCATTCCATCAACTGGTTGAGGCAGCTTCTCCTCCACAGCAGACATGCCTGTTGGAATTTTTTACGTATATTAAAATTCAATGACACAAGGAGCTGTCAAGCGTGTCAAAAATTGGAAGCTTGCGGAGCTCTGGTCAACGCACAGCCAATCATTTACGGCTACAACTGCTTGTATGGGATCATCGTTGTACAGAAAACACATAAGGTCATATTTATGTCACCAATGTTGCATCGAGGACAATCGGCATCACGCATAAAGATCGCAGGCCCCTGATGAGGCTGACGGCCCCAGAGCACTGCAAGTGTGGATGCAAGTAGATATCGATTGATCTGTCAATCAGTTGTGCATGCTGCGGCAGCCGTCGTGAGGGCGCCGCTGCCGTGGAGCACCAGGACCAAACAGCACCTGATGCAGCACGCCGGCGGAGACCCCGCTGACCTGGCGGTCCTGCTGACCCTCAAAGATGCGGAGGTCAGCTCCCTCAGGCAGCAGGCGTCCCAGCTGGCGGACGAGCTGCGGCGCAACGTGGCGGTGGGTGGCCGATCAGTCGCCGCCGCGCGCAGCTCAGCACGCACCCACGTGTGCGCAAGAGCGGGCATATCCTGGGCATGCGGTACGTGCCTGGTCGCACGCAGGAACGCGCCGCCTCAACCACATGTGCAGCACGATGATGCAGCAAGCACAAACGTATCCACGGCCATAACCGCCACAACCACATCGCCACCTTGATGCCAACAGCTGGTGTCCGAGTTCAAGGAGCAGGCCGCCCAGCTCGAGTCGCAGCGCGAGCAGGAGGCGCGCCGCGCGGCAGACGTGGAGCAGCGGCTCGCGGCCTGCGAGGCACAGAGGGAGGCGGACTGCGAGGCAATGCGGGCGGCCGTGCGCGACGCGGACGGGAGGGCTGCCGCACAGGTGAGGCCGGGGGCACTCGTGATTTGTCGAGCGCCCTCTCGCGCTCCCGTCGCCCTGGGTTGTGCAAGCTATGCCTTTGTGCATTGGAAACGGCCGCAAAGCTGCCGGTCCTCCCTCCCTGCTCACTCGGCCATGCGCCCGCAGCTGCTACGCGCGCGGCAGGAGGCGGCGGACGACGCGCAGCGGCGCGCGGCGCTGCTGCAGGCGCGCCTGGAGCGGGCCGAGGACTCAGCGCAGCGCATGGCGGCCGAGGCTGAGGCGGCGCAGACCGTCGCGGCGGTGAGGGGCGCCGAGCTGGAGGAAGCTGCCAGGCAGCTGGCGGCGGCGGTGGAGGGCGCAGCTCGTACGGAGGAGTCGCACCGCCAGGTGCGGCAGTGGCATGAGCTGGTGTGTGTGTGGTGGATCCACCCGTGACGACGCTGTTGGGTGGCTCAGGGACGCCTATAATGCAGCAGCTGCCCTGTGTCGTGGGTCCCCCTTCCCGTTGCTATTTACTGACAGCGCGGCTGGCCGCACCCGCTCCGCCTGTCGGCAAGCCAGTCCCCCGCTCCCTTGACGCCCCTCCATTATCGCGTGCCATCCCTGAACGCCCGCCTTTAGAATCTTGCCCGACCCAAAAGCGCCCGCCTCGTCCTTGCAAAACCTAAACCCTACGTATTGTTGTTGCAGCTGGTGGCTGCGCGTGACTCAAAGGTCCTTGAACTGCAGCAGCGGCTGGCGGCGATGACGGCCGCGGGCCAGGAGGCGTCGGGGGCGCATGAGGGGCAGCTGGTGCAGCTGGTGACGACCCTGGGCCAGCTCAAGGACACGTGCGCGAGCCAGGTGCGGCGGACGTTGTCTGTACGTGCGTTGGCCAACATGCGCGAGTGGACATCCCGTGCATGGAAGATGAAACGGCGGCTTTCATCATCGAAGCCCGCCCGAGTCATCGGGAAGGGTGGGGTGTGGCTGTTGTGTCATGGGACAGGGGTGGCGTGTGGCAAGGCCGCCATGTGACAGGGTGGCGTGCGGCACGGGTGTCGCATGACAGGGGTGTCATGTTGGCGTGTGACCAGGGGCCTGCATGCGCGATTGCATTGGTGCAAAATTCCAATACGCACCGCACCCCGCTTCAGGCCGAGGAGCTGCGCGGCTACACCGAGGAGCTGCGGCGGCTGAGGGACGAGCGGCGCGGCCTCAAGGCCGCCGCGCGCGAGGCGCGGGCGCAGGCGGAGCAGCTGCGGGTGGAGAAGCAGGTGAGCGGCTCGGAAGGGGTCGGGCTCGTCCGGGCCGCTGCAGAGCAGTAGATCGGGCCGATGCGTTGCAGCCGTCTCGCAGGTGCTGCGTGATTGGGTTGCCAAAACAAGCAAAACCTGCTGTGCTGCTGCATCCAAGCATGATGCCAGGGGTTGACGCCGAGATGCGCGCTCGTCGTTGCAGCCCCGATTGGTTTGCCCCCCCCCCGGCCCCCGGCAGCCATCTAGCGTGCCCGCACCTGCCCACCGCCGGGCGGTCCGTCCGTCCGCGCGCCGCCGCCCCTGCAGGTCATGGAGGGCGCGCTGCAGCACGAGGTTGCGGCGCAGGCGGGGGCGCAGGCGGAGCTCGCGGTGCTGCAGGCGCAGCTCAAGGAGGCGGTGGACGAACTGGAGGAGCGCTGCAAGGGTGAGCCTTGCTGTGCACAGCTCACACGCGTGCCGGTCCGCACCGCCCGACCTCTCTGCAGCCAAAGTTAGCACCACTCGTACTCTTACTCCAGTCGGATGGGTGACGCGTCGCTCCCTGGGTTGAGTCCACAGAGCGCTGCACCACCAAAAGCCTTAGCAGCATGCTGTCCTGCCTGCAGCTTATAGGTGTTGGATGGTCCCCGGGCGTCAATGAAGCCCCGTCGCGCCCCCCGCCAGGCGCCGAGTCGCGGGCGTCGGCGCTGATGGGGCGGCTGTCGGAGGAGCGCGGCCGCCTCGTGGACGCGGCTTGCAGACTGGGCGGCAGCTGCGGCGCCGGCGGGGACCTCGCGCGGGCGCTCGAGGTGAGGGCGCGTCCGACCTGCATGGGCCCGCGGCCCCCAGAGAGCCTGTTCTCAGGGTGGGAGTAGTAGGCGGCCTCCGCAGGCACCCACACCCGGGCAGCAAGCCAAATGCGTTGCGTGTGCGCCTGGCCAATAGCAAGGAGGCCTTGTGAGCTGATTGAAAGTGGCTGATTTAGATTTCCTTTCCCCTCTCCAACCCCCTCCCCGAAAGCACACACACACACACACACACACATATACACACATACACACGTACACACCTACACACATGGACGACACACAAACACGCACACACACACACACACACACACACACACACACACACACACACACACACAAATCCCCTCTTGCGCACGCTCGCCGGAACCCGCAGGCCGACCCCGCGCACACCCAGGCGGAGCTGCAGCGCGCCCAGGAGCGCGCTGCCAGCGTCAGGGAGGACCTGTCTCTTGTGCGCTCCTCGCTGCTGCCCCTGCTCGAGCGCGGCGCCGCGCGGCAGCCGCCGGCGGGCAGCAGCTTGGCAGCGCTCGCCGCGGCGAGGCGGAGGCGGCAGCAGCGGGAGGAGGCGGGCAGGCGCTCGCCCGGCGGATCGAGCGGCCGCGATGTGGCCGCGGGCGACCCGACGCTGCAGTCGGCCATGAAGAGCCCTCTCGCAGCTTCACGGCAGCTGCCGCAGGGCACGTTGGCCGGGCTGGTTTCGGGGCTGTGCGCTGACGTGGACAGCCTGCAGGGCCAGCTGCGCGCAAGCCGCGTGCGCGCCGGCAAGCCAGGCGGCCAAGCGCGCGCGAGCGAAAGCATTGACGACGGCGACGCGCTGGGCCGGGGCGGCGACGCCGAGGGGCGGTCGCGGTCGCGGCGGGCGGTCTGCGCGCGTGAGTGGACAAGGCAGCAGGCGGGCTGCGGCGGCGCCACCGAGGGATGGCCGAGCAGCTGCAGGTGACAGCGCTCGCCGCTCGCCATGCACCGAGGTAGCGCTGGCATGGGGTGATGAGGCCATCTTCGTTTGCGTCGATTCAGGGAGCGGCAACGCTGTTGAAGCGAGAGAGGCCGCTCACGCACCAACCGCCAGAAGTGACACACGAAATGACTGATGGCGAGCTGTAATGTCCTCCACACCTGCTTTGCGTCTCCAATGTCCACGCACGCGCCTGTCAACGATGACAGCACGCCCCAAAGCATCGCGGCCACCCACCGGAGCAGCAGCAGCAGCAGCAGCAGCACTGAGCACCTTTCGCCGGGCATACCGGCACTTCTGCTCGAGACCGCAGCAGCAGCACAGCCTCGAATGAGTGAGCAGGGCGGCGGCGATCAACGGCGTGACGAAGGTTTTGGGCGCTCGCCGGCAAGCTGGCGGCGGCGGCGCGCATCGTGGGACGCAGCCAGCAGCTGCAGCAGCAAGGACATCCGGGAGGCGGCGGCGCCAGGCGCCGGCGGCGCTCGTGGAGGCGCGCGGTGGGTGCAGTCCGCGGCCTGCAGCGGCTGCACGGCTTCCAGCGCAGCGGCGCTGTCGGCGGCGATGACCGAGGCCCGGCGGCTGGCAGCGGGTGTCGGGGGCGGCGGCAGCGGCGGCGGCGTCGAGGGCGGAAGCTTGGGGGTCATAAGGGACGCGCAGCTGCTCGATTCTGTCCTGACCGGCCGGCTTTTGGCGCACTCGGGGCCTGCCTGGGCCAGCGGTGGTTTCAACGCCGCCAAGGGCAGCTTCAGGGGCCCTGTGTCCTCAGCGGCCGCGAGGCACAAGGGCGACCCTCGTGATGCTGCGGCGGGGGGGCACTTCGCGGCGGAGCAACTCCGGCGTTTGCTGCAAGCTGCGCCCGCAGCCACGGCTGCTCTGCTGCAGCAGCACGGGCACAGGAGGGCGCACGGCTTTGGCGGACGGCGACTGTAACTGAGCGCCGGTTTTCCTGGTTGCCACTATCTTATTAATGAGGTTGCTTTTGTGGGTTCAGGCACAGTGAAAATGCAATCCATGCTGTGCGGCCTGAGGCAGTCCAGCCAGCCAAGAAGCAACGCCCCAAGTGGGGCTGTCCATCATTTTTGATGTGGCCTCTCATGCGTCAACATACTTGAAGCCACTTACATGACTTACTTTGCCAGCTGGCGTCCGCATCACATGCGGCGTGCGGTTGATTGCATGCAGTTAGTTGTTCCTGGCGGGCTGTGTCAGTTCACAGCAGCAGCCCAACGCCACAGGAAGGTGCAATCAGCCTTGGCTTTCTGCAAGAGACACCTACTAGTTAGAGAGTGTTATTTTAGGCAACAGCTTTGAGGCTTGCTGCTCGCCGGCGCAGCGTGTTGTTTGGGCGCCGTGCAGGGGGCGCGGCATGCTCGAGTCTCACCCGCCATGCTTGCCGTTGCGCCGCGGGCCGTGGCTCAAGGCAGCACGCGAGATCGCATGTCCTCTGTTCTAACAATTTTCGAGTGCTTTGCGTTGTCCCGCGACATCCACACACTTCGTGCCGGCGTGTTCACCATTGGGCGGCCTAGGCCACCGACTGACCCTCAGCGCTGCGCATGGCCCTGGTAAGGTGACAAAACGAGGATCTATGAGGAGCCGCTGAGCTTGTGGGCGGCCAGGAGGCAGCAGGTGCGCAGCACGCTGGCTGGACCTCCGACCGCGGTAACCAGCGCGGTTTGAGCCTCGTTTCCTGTTCATGACAAGCCTGGTACCAGCGTGGGCTCCACCTGTCCGGGCTCGGCCTCCTGGGTGTTGGCAGGACGGCCCGCTCTGGCCGTTTGTGGGCGCACACTCCGGGAGATCCTAATCTCCAGCTTTTACGAGGCTGCTGGGGCCGCCCGGTCACCGCGGCACACTCTGTCCGCGCGCTGCCGACAACAGCCCGACGGCGGCCGCCGCGCTCACCCACCCCTTCACACCCCGCCTCAGGCGGGCGCATGGCGCCTGAGGACGGCCTGCCGCTGCATATGAGTGCTGTGGAGGTGCCAGCAAGGGAGCACGAGCGCCAGCAGGCGTCTGTGGCCACGCCAGGAACAACCACCTCCCCGCGCGCCACCGGTGCCTGCCAGCATGGCGCCGCGCTCCCTGTGGGTCAACAGCTGGTGGAGCAGCCATTACCACAGCCAGACGCGGCGCAGCAACAGTTGGGGCAGCAGCAGCAGCAGGTACAGCAGCAGCAGGTGCAGCAGCGGCAAGTCCAGCATCAAGCGTCATGGACCCCGGGCATTGACCCGCCCATCGCAGCCGGGGGATCTCGGGACTGCACCACCGCCCCCAACGCACGTGAAGCCGCAGCGCCCGTACTGGTGACGTCCGCATCCCGCGCGCGCCGCCGCCCACCGCCGGCCGCGGTCATGGGCGCGCCCGGCCCCGCTGCCGTCGCGGCCGCGGCCGTGGGCGCGGGCGCGCTGGGGCTGACGGCGTCCGGACGCGCGGCGCGCGCGGGCGCGGGCGGGCGCATGGCGCAGATCCTGCGAGCAGAGGACGGCGACGGCGAAGACGGCGGCGAAGGCGCCAGCGACGGCGAAGGCGGGCGCGAGGAGGTGCGGTTGCTTGCGCGAGCGTTTTCCCATTGCTTGACTGTCTGCAACCCGTCCTGGCGGCTGTTCGGGCCCGACAACCTGTGCTTGCTTGAAGGTGGTCGGCGCTGCGAGGCCCCGCCGTCTCGGCTGCCGTCCTGCCTCGACGCGACAGCCCCGATCGCCCCCGTCTCGCAGGCAGACGCGGCACCCGAGCGCACCCCCCCGTCGGAGGCGCTGCGACAGCACGGGCAGCGGCACCCCCACGCAGCCCCAGCGCAGCGCGGCGGCACAAACCCGCGCACGCCCGGCTCCCGCCCCCGCCGGCCCGCCGCGCAGAAGGCGCGGCGGAACCCTTGGTCATCTGACGACAGCGACAGCGAGCGCCCCGCGCCCCGCGCCTCGCCAGCCGCGGCGAGCGCACGCC